GGATTCTGGGAGAAATGGATCTATCAGCAAAGGAGACTGAGCTGATTTCCTAACATCTAATGTACACACAATCTCTAGATTTTTAGCTTATGCTGCCGGTGTACTCAATATCAAGTTCAGATCCAGTTTCCTGAGCTAACACACACACACACAATAAAAATAGATCATTTCAAGAAAAAGAAAGGAATGAATTGAGGCTTTAATCATTCCATGTACTATTGCCATCCTGGCCTCCCAGTTACAGGAGATAACCTCCATGTAAGGAGAAAACTACAAATCCGTTAGTTTAAGAGAAATGAGTTTACGTTAGATTTAGGCCTTTTGTTTTGTGCTGAACACAGACATCAAATGGCCTGGAGAGACTCTCTTACTTAGAGCTCAGAATCTCCTCTAACCCTCTCAGGGCTCTGACCGCACACAGCTGGCTAAGTCAGATGGCTTTGCTGCGTGGTGAATCTTGCCATCTCCAACGTCTTTCCCCTTCTTCTCCTTACACGTGTTGGGTGAGATAACCTATAACTCTCCTGGGATGTGCGAGGAGTCCATAAGTTAGTTCTTGGAATGCATGACATCCTCTTTGGATTGTAGTATGCTTGTAGCTGATGCACTGTCACATGATGTGAGTTCTGTCATGTGATAAAAGTTAGGAATCAGTACAGGATCCTGGGTCCATTTGAAACCATGTTGGGGGGCCTGGTGCCCATAATCCTGGCAGTCTGGGAGGCTGACATGGGTGGATTGCCTGAACTCAGGAATTCAAGGCCAGCCTGAGCAAGTGCGAGACCTCATCTCTAAAAATAGCCAGGGTGTAGTGGCAGGCTCCTGTCGTCCCAGCTACTTGGGAGGCTGAGGCAAGAGGATAGCTTGGGCCCAAAAGTTTGGGGTTGCTTTGAGCTATGACATCGCGGTACTCTACCCAAGGCAACAGAGGGAGACTGTCTCAAAAAAAAAAAAAAAAAAAACCCAACCAACCGACCAACCAACCAACCAAACAAACAAAAACCAAGCTGGAAGGTGGGATTTCTCTTCTAGGCTTAGTACTTCATCTCGGCATGGTTGGAGTATGTTTCCCCCACTTTTTCCCTTTCCCACTTCCATCCGTTTATTTTATTTTTCTCCTCTTCCTTAAACATTTATTGAGGGCCTGTCATTTGAGTACCATGCGAGTGGGAGCACAGACACAAAAACCAAAGGCCCTCCCCTCAGGGAGCTCACAGTCTAGGCGGGAAGACTGATACAGAAGCCCATAAATCACCCCTGCATGAACAATGAGAAAGAGAAACCCTGAGGAAAGGTTCATTGCCTCCCAGGCAGGGAAGGTCAGGGAGGGCTTCCTGGAGGAGGAGCCCCTGATCGAGGTGTGCAAAGGTAGGTAAGGACAAGTTGGTAAGAGCAAAGCACGGCTGTGTAACAGAAATGAGTGTAGTGAGCCCTTCATTCTTGGCTAGTGTTCATTCTGCAGATCTGAAGTATTTTGGGGAGTCTTCTGTCTTCCACTAGTTACAAAAGTCCTCAAAAAATTTAATTAGAATAGGACCCTTCTTCATAAGTCGGAGTTTCCCAGCTCTTCAAGAAATGCTTTGAAAAATTCACTTGTTCCCAGATGATGCTATTCTGGTTGTTTACCCTTTAAACAGTGAGAGAAAGGTGGGACTTCCAGACTCCTTAAAAGCCCGCGCCATCTGCAGGTAATAACAGTGTCCGGTTAACAGCAGGGACGTGCCTCCTATTTCAGGAAGGATCAGATCTGCCCTTCCTGAACATTCATTTGTCGAGGCTTTGGTTCTAGGAGATTTTATTCCTTGCACACTTTTCTGCTTTTCTCTTGTTTCTATAGCTTCTCAGAAGAGATAACTTCTCAGAAAGATAAAAACTGTTAGCATGCTCCTTATAAAGGCTTCGGATTCTAAGGATCCATCCTTACTGCTTCATTTTGGCTTTCACTTTATTTCCAATGGAATTGCCAAGTACAAACATCGTTTTAGTAGCTAGGGTGGTGGATGGCTACTCTTGGGTGATTTTAACTGTAAACACCCTTATACTCCTACACGTACCCTCTTCCACCTTAAGATTTACCTGAAATTCCACGATTAGACATTCATTCTGGAAGCCTTTTTAGGTTTTTAAAATCTAAATAGTTCCCCGTATCACCTCACACCTTCATCAAGCTGGTACCAGTTATTGGCTCTCTGTGTGGTGAGCACTGAGCTCTGGGAGGAGAGATGGAAAAAACAAGCAAAAGGATGGCTTAGCCCTGGCCGGCTTTATATACAGCGAGGGAGCCATTCAAATATCAGCAGCTTTAATCAGCACAGCTTGTTACCTGACATCTGCTAACCTGAGGAGATTACTGTGGGTTAATTCTAGCAGCTCCCCGGTTACATTAACGACTTACCTTCATTGACAGCTGATTCTGTCTTGAGGGATTGTCTCTGACAATTGGTGTAGTAGGTAAACGATACCTTTGCTTCCATTAGTGTTCCTTTGTGAAAAGAAATAAGATAGTTAATATTGATTTGTAGCTCTGCGGTTGCTCACGCCTCTTTTGTACTTTTGGAATTGGAGCACAGTACTATGCCTATAGCAGGTGCCGAATGAATACTTTTTAAAGAAATCAGTTTATAGATCGTTTGAGGCTCATAGCACCACAAGTAAGACCACTAGCCTGACATCTGGCTATCGTAAAAGCAAGCAGGTGAATAACTTATTTTTTGTTGTTGTTATAACTCTGTTTTGAAATAGTGTAAGTGTCATAAGAACAAAAAAAACAGTACAGAGTTTCTGTGCCCTTTCTCCCACTTTGCTCCCCCGCTGATAATGCTCTGCTATCTATCCTTAGTATATTGTCAAAACAAGGAAATTGACACTCCCAGGCACAATGCTGTTAACTCAAGCTCGCAGAGCTCTTTTTGGCTTGGCCAGTTTTTACCTGCACTTTTTTCTCCCTCTGTAGATCTGTGTTATCATCACCTCAATCATTATGCAGACCTCTTCCATCAGGGCAAAGCAACATTCTTGTAAGCAACTGATTTTTAAAAAGAAAAATCAGCTACTCAAAAATAAACACCAACATTGGTGGAAGATCACGTTAATGAACTTTAAAATCAAGCTAATTTCATAATGACGTAGATCAAAGTTCAAAATCCACTAAAAAAATAATTGTTCTTCAGCTGAATTCCTTAAATGCAGGCAGTATGGGTTTAAAACATTCACCTGTTTTGTGGTTTTTGAGCCCCTCCCCCCAAGAAAAGCACGCTTGAAACTTGATCTCTTCATCAGAATGTAAAAGGCTAACTCCTGAAAAATTACTCTGGCTTCCGTATGTTCCTCTAAAATCCCACGTGAGTTAAACATGGCAGCTGGCACAGGCACCAGTGTTTCTCAGCCGACCACAGGGTGAGGTAAAGCCGGCCCACTTGTATTGACTGAGTTGCTGGGAAAGACATTGAGAGAGTATGAACCAGAGAGAGGTCGTAGCCCTTGCTATTTCCTAGATGATTTCCGTCCTGTCAGTTCCAGGAGGGTAACCTGGGGGAGGTGGTGGGACTCTAAGCTGCTTCATTTTATTATCTGTTTGGCATTCTCCAGGTGTGTTTGTTTGCAGCGGAGGGAGGGAACTGGTTTTGTTGGGTCTCCATCTTTTTTTTTTTTTTTTTTTTTAACCCATGCAGGATAGAAAAGGGGAGGTATCAGGTAGCTGAGAACAATTCACACTTTCCAGACCAAGATAGATTTACCTCTTAGATCCATTCTTCAGAGGTGACAGCCACCTGCATTGTACCTTTTCTTTTGAGGGTTACTTAAGACCTGTTGCACTTTCCTTTGACATGAGATCGTGCTCTTCCTGCTGAGTGTCTGCTAAGCAGCAAGGTGGCCATCACTTCAGGGACTCTCCGTCGTATCCCTTTCATGAGTTCCATGTTTCAATTCTCTTGTCTGTGAGTCTGTGTGCAGAGGGTTCCTTTTTACTCCTGTCTTGGCATCGTGGAAGCTCCAACAGGGAATAGACTTCAGACGAGTGGCAATCCATCAAGCAAGTTTGAGCACATGGTCACAGCAGCTAGACCAACCTTTCCTGTTCCTGCATCACCAGCTGGGGCTGCAGAGCCCCCTCCACCCTTAGACTTGAAGTTGAGCTCAGTGAGCAGCACCTCATGCATTTGGTCACTTTTTAAAGAGTTGTTGTGTTATCAGAAAATGGCATCTTCCTTCTTGTTCTCTTGACTCTGACCATAAGAAAGCCTTAGAGGAACTCTAAGGCAACCCTCTGGGAGCTGAGAATACTTAGTATTTGAACCCTAAAGGACAAGATTCCGTGAAGGAAAACCCTCATGAAAGCCCCATGGTGCACAGGATTGGGTGGACCTTTAAAAGGCATTTGAGGGTTTGTTAGTGCTGCCAACCCAGGTGTTGTAGGGATGAGCAGTGGGTGCTGAGAAAGTGTTAGCTCTCACTGCTCTGTGTGCCTAAGTGTGGTCCCATGGAATTTGCAATTGTTGGCAAGTGTCTAATATTTACAGGTGCCCCATAAAATATGTCCATTTTGTGTAGATTCTGAATATAATTTGGAAACCAATCTCCAAATAGCAGAGAGAACAGCTTCTTCACAGGGTGGGTTCTTTGAAAAGGTAAAGGACACATGCTTTAATTGCTTTGATAGACCTAGAAGAGACCATGGGAGGAGAAAGAACCATGTGGCCTAGGAAAACTGCTTCAGTGATACCAGAGACCTAATCTCCTCTGCCCTGACAGCATCAGACCCCGAACATGGGTCACTTTCCAGGATATTAGGATTCTTTAGCGTATGGCAACAAGAATGATTATTTTAACGTGTGTTTACATGGTTGTTTTCCTCTAGGATTTGGTCTGACTCATTGACCTTTATTCCTTGACATTCTTCTGCTTCTCATTTCTCCTCCATATTGTTCCCAGAATTAATTTGCTACAAAACAAAGATAACAGCACCATTCTCCTGCATTTAAACTTCTATTAGCTTCCTGTTTTCTATAGGAGAACGACTAGATGTGCTCACGAGTGTACAGATGCTGCCTGGTCTCTTGGCTGGCTGCATTTTTTTGTCCCTCCTGCAGTCTATGGAGGCTCTGGTCCTATGGGCAGCCGTCCATTCCTGGGGGGCACTGTGCCCTCCTGTCTCTCTTTCTGCTCACGCTTACAACTCTGCAGCGATACCTTCTCCTGCCTTCTCTCCCTGAGAGGTTTCTTCTCCTCATTCAGGACCTATCTCTGCAGTCTGTGGAGGCTCTGGTCCTATGGGCAGCCGTCCATTCCTGGGGGGCACTGTGCCCTCCTGTCACTCTTTCTGCTCACGCTTACAACTCTGCAGCGATACCTTCTCCTGCCTTGTCTCCCTGAGAGGTTTCTTCTCATCATTCAGGACCTACCTCAAAGTAGGTTTCTTACCTGTCTTTGAGTATTCATGGTCCTAATGGCGATCACCAAGATAGCATTCAGCAAGCACTGGCTGCTAACAAAGCAGTTCACATTTCCCACCTCATTTCGCTCAAGAACCCCAGGAAGTAGGTGGTAGTATTTGCATTTCACAGATGAGGAGACGGAGATTCAGAAAGATGAAATATCTTGCTCAGGGTCTTGTCAGAGAGCAGAATTTTGAAGCAAGTTGCTCTTGCATGTGATGTATGCTGCCAGAAAGGAAAATCTGGTGGGCTTCCCGGCTACGTGGAAAATGACTCAGGAGCAGGAACTCATGTTTTGTGGAACTTTATGTCTCCAAAACTAGTATTGAGCTCATCACAGAATGAGAACCTCAGGGATATTTGTTGAATGAATGTTCAACATTTAGAATGACTGTTCTAAATCCTTTTGAAAATGTGTCATTCAACTTAAGCCTTTAAGTTTTTACATAATAAGAAAGAATAAATTGTGATCAAGAGGACACAGCTACCTCTGGAGGAATGAGGAAGGTGACACTGGCAGGGCTGTCCTGTATCATTTCTACCAGCATTTAGGCAGGTGTTCAGCTCTCACTGAGCATGGAAGGTGGAGGAGCGACCGCTCATTCATGCCAGGCCTCAGCTCCCTATCAAGCTTGTCACTGATGGGGACAAGAAGGCTGAGCTCCAGGAGAACATTGTGAAAGGAGTAATTTATAAGTGTGAGGCTTGCTTCCCTGCTGTTTACAGTCAGAAGCAGGAGGGAGGAATTGTCGAGTTAGGAGCAGACCACACCATTCTTTGAGTTGTGTTCAATGTGTCAGAAATCACAAAAGGCAGAAAGAGCAGGTAAAAAGAAAACAGAGACTGTTTTAAGCACGTAGCTTACAGGAAATTCGTCTTCAGATACCCACGGTAGCCTTGACATTAGAGGGGAGCTCGATAGACCCCCGCTGACTCAGTACAGTGGTTCAGTAGTATTTTTATCCCTTTAATAAAAACTCTGGAAAAAATAGATATGACCAATTGATTTTGATTAAAACAAACAAAGAAACAAAAACTCCTGCAGGAATCTCACTGGTAACAGAAGTTCTGTTAAATGGTCAAGGGTGAACTTACCGTTTGACGGGTCACACTCCACTTGGGAGTGGGGTTATATCCAGGGTTAGAGGTGACTTGCAGGCGTGTATTTGCGTAGAGTTACCCAATCTTGCATCACTTGAGCCTCCATGACTGTTGGGTTCCTTCAACACCATGTTACACTTTTGAAAGTCATCATGAGTTCTGTAACCCCAAATTTGAGGATGTTGGCACTTCACTGTGTCCTATTTATCTGACCAGCTTCAGCTCTGCTTCTATAATGAACTGTAACTACAGAAAACCATAGTGTGTATATTCATGTAACCAATGGCCTGCTTCTTCTGAATTTTCAAAACATCTGAACAATTATGATTGATAGTAAACCCCCACCTGCTGCGAGGTTATTTGTTGAAGCAAAATGCCTTCTAAAACTACACACATATGAAAGGATGGCCAGGGAAACCATTTCATCAGAGTACCGGCCAGCTCTGTCTTCACCTCCCCTGTGCCTCCCCCCTCCACGTCCCCAGAGCTGCCTCTTCCCGCGTGTACTGCCAGCGCGCCCTGTACAGTGTTGTAGTGGTTTGAACATTTTTCTGCCCCTGTCTTTCATTGCTGAAGTAACTCACCTCTCTCATATCGACTCTTACCCAGGAGCCGCACTGCAGACTCCCTGATGTAGGTTTCTCTGCATGGCAGCTAAGGTCCAGCTGTGGTTTTCACTGCATGATGCAACCTCACCCTTTCGGTCATGGCCTCCAGGTTAACCAGATTCTTTCCCTGCACGGCCCTGCATGTTGATGCACTTTCCCTGATGGCCGTGAATGCCGTGAGCTCTGGACACATGCATGGAACTAAAGCGGCACGCGTTCCAGTACCCTGAAGTGCTGGGGCTGCGGCTTCTCCTTGGACATTCTTGTGGGCCCCCACTTTGCTGTGATGCTACAAAGGCCACTCTGTCCCTGAAAAAGTCAAGACCAGGATGCTGAGTAAAAGGGGACAAAAGTCTTCTGTTTTTAGAGTTATGTTGAGCAAAGGCTAGCAGCGATGAACTCAGAAGCTTGGGTCAGTTTTCCAAGTGAGAGCTCACCTGATGGTCAGTCCTCCACATTCCCAGTTCTACACCGATGCACCCCAAATGGCCAGTATTATGACACCTTTGCACAGCGTTCTGAACTAGGTTAACTAGTCTGGTTTTGCTTAGATCTAATAAACATATATATATATATATATATATACACGTATGTGCATATATGCCTATATATGTATATACTTTTCAAAAACGCCTCTTAGGTGGAATACTGTGGGAAATACAGTCATTAACCTTTCTTATAGTTTATGTTTCAAAATGCCATTAATTTGACTTCAAAAGGTATAAAGAGGTGGCATTATAAAGCACTATCACATTCTCATGTTCACTGAAGCATGTCGGTGCTGTATTCAGCGTTATTGATTAGTAAATTGTGATCATTTTCTCTCGTTGAAATACATTTTTGGCTTAGGGCTGTCTAAGGGCTCTCTTTAAAACCCAAGCCTTCTCTTCCCTTCTTTCCTTCCCCTCCCTCCTTCCCTCCCTCCTCCCCTCCCTCCTTCCTTCCCTCCTTCCCTCCCTCCCTCCTTCCTTCCTCCCCCTCCTCTCTCCCTTCTTCCTTCCTTCCTTCCTTCCTTCCTTCCTTCCTTTTCTTACTTCCTACAGGTGAGGTTCTTTCCTTCCTATATCTCAAAATGGACTTTCCCGAAACATAATTGTCAGGATGTTTTCTTACTTTTTTTGTCCTCTAAATATATAGATACTTGACATTTTTGACACATCTTGGTTGTAAACTGAGAAAAACAAAAGGTGGGGCTTTACCAAGCCCTGACAGTTCCAGTGTAGGAGTAAGGGTTCCTGAAGATGCCTGATGGTCCTAGCTTGTCAGAGAACTTGAGACTCAAACTACACACTAAGCAGAATGAACAAGTCAAAGGCTTCTTATCTTAGTTTTTATTTTTCCCCTCATGAATTGTGACTTTCTCATGTCCAAGGGCTTTAGTAGATGGAAGCTCTTTCCACACTTCACTTCCACGATTCTATTAAACATGTCCTGTTCATTCTATGAAAATGGCTTTTGCTTAGAATTTCATAACATGTTCTTCTGGTACCCAGTAAAGAAGATTCTCCGAATGGGAGCATTTCCTTCTGTGAAAGGAGCTCAGATGGAGTTATAGTACAGACCTGTGCAGGCAGGCAGTTCTGACCAGCACGTTGAAATACTCTCTCTTTATGAGACCTGTTGTTTGGGGAGTTTGGTAAAGGAAACATCTGGTTCTCCTTTTTGAGCTTCTTTAGTAAAGAGACCCATTCCTCTTTCTCAGAAAAAGCAACAGTGCCTCCTGATAAAGTGAAAGCATTTCTGAAGCCCAACAGAGAGTGGGGATAAGTGGATCCTTTCATGGAAACAAACAAGAAGATCCTAAGAAATCTGCTTCCTGTGGGCATCCTTGGTCCCTCACAGAGATGATTGTACAGTGATGGGGAAAACATCTCTAGAAAGAATCATAGTTATGGCAGCAGAATCAGAAAGAGGAACTGCAGGAGGAAGCAAGGAAAAAGGAACTTCACCCCACTGAGCCTGTACTTGGAAGGTTTTTTTTTTTTTTTAATTTGGATCTGAAAGTCTAGTGAGTTTGATTGATAATCATAGAAAAATCTACTTCTTCTTTCTGAGACATGAGCAGGACAAGCTCAATTTTGATAAATAAATGACTTATAGTGTTAACCAGAAGCAAGAGGGAAAGGAAAAAAAAAGGAAAGGAAAATTTCTAGAAGTCATTTCTTAAAGTCATTAAGAAGGAAATTAAGAGCCCATAACTTGACGATAGGATGGTATAATGGTGGGACTTAAAGCCACTTACCATTTTAGCTATCTGCAATGACAGTGTGTTTCTGAAGGTGGCGCTGGTCTTTACTGTGCAGGTTGCTTTATGACATTCCTAGGGAGTGACTTCAGCCTTGGACTCAGCAGACCCGTGACTTCTAATCAGCAGCATCTCAGACTCTCCTTTTTGGCCGTGAGGCTGCTGAGCTCTCAGCAAAACTCCTAAATAGGAATACTTACAAAACCTCCACCCTTCAGCTATCAGCCAAACACAGAGACAAGACACAGCTATTTATTTCTTTGTGTCATAAAGGTATAATTGTTTTCTAGTCCAGATGTCAAAAAGACTTGCACCAACTCTTTTTCTGTGTCTTCTTAACAGCAACAACAAAAACCCCAAAACCTTTAACAACAACGAGGGAAAAAATAAAACCAAACAAACCTCACGATGTCAGAAACAAAGCTATCATAATTATTTTATAGAATCACTTGTGTACCTTCTAACAAACTGGGGTCCTTATGGTGACTATATATGTCATATAATATTTCTATTCTTCAAACTGAAGCAGTAGGTAAATGGAACAACTGGGTTTTTTTCTAAACTTTTTTTATTTTTATTTTTATTTTTGAGACAGAGTCTCACTTTGTGCGGCCTCACAGCTCATTTCAACCCCATAATCTTGGGCTCCAGAGTTCCTCTTGCCTCAGCCTCCCAAGTAGCTGGGATTCTCCTAGGCTAATTTTTCTATTTTTAGTAGAGACAGGTCTTGCTCTGGCTTAGGCTGGTCTCGAATTCCTGAGCTCAAGCAGTCTGTCTGTCTTAGCCTCCAAGAGTGCTAGGATTACAGGTGGGAGCCACTGTGCCCAGCCTTTACATTTTTTTTTTTTTCCTCAGATGCACTCAGGCTTCCTAACATCCTTACCTGGAAGATCTTCAGTCTTGGAAGCCTTTGTTAGTGCAGACCTTGTGTGGGCCACTGAGGGGGTCGTGTGCCATTCTGCTTGAGCGCAGATGTGGCTGGGAGGTATAAGGTTTGGAACTGTAAGAGGTCTCTTAGGCTGCTGCTGTCTGGGTATTGACATCCACTGAAGAGAATAGGAATAGGATCTGTCTCAGGCTTCCCATTACCCTCATCTGATTAGCTGCCGGGCTGGGCCTTAGAACAGGCTGGGTGGGGCCATGGAGTTACTAGTTTTAGCTTCCTCACTTCTAAGTCATGGCAAGGTGGCATTGCCAAGGTCACATTGTCCAGGTATGTCAGGACTATGTTAAAGCCAGGGAGAAGGATGAGAGAAGAAAGCTTGGCCATGGGCTAAGTAAGGGACTAGTGAGGTGACCAGGGGATACTCAGACAGTCCAAGACAAATCTCTGGAGAAAAAGACTCAGACAGAGGGATGTTGAAATCTATTCTCAGTAACAATGCAGAGAAGTTCCCCAATGCTGTGCAAACCAGTTATCCTGTGGGCGTACTAACCTACCTGCTCGCCTTGCCCTGATTCTCCAGGCAGTGGCAAATAGAGGGCTCCTGCTTTGTCTTTGCCACCCCCCATGCAATGATGAGAGCTTCTGACTTG